CCTCCTAATAAATATATTAAAAAATAATTCTTTGTTATACAGGCATGAATGAAGCGGTGTATTACAGCAAAGGCAATCAAATTTTCCACTTCTCACAGGAAAATTTTCCTGAGTTTAAACAGCGCATTTCACACAGAGCCAGATTTATTTACATTAACACCACTGTACGCATACAATAAAAGTGATATCCCCGTTAGCCGGAACAATTAGTGCAAAGCACTCCCAGGGATGAGATTTCCGGGTAACCAGACAACTTTCTCAAACGCATAAAAATTCCTTATCCCCGGAATCTTTTCCGGTTACTGGGAAAAGTTTCTGAGTGTCTAAATTACATATCTTGCACAGACAGACACTAGCCCACTTCCCCAGAACGTTTCTGGGTGGTAGAGAATATTTTCCTCGAGTCTAAACTACCAGAGTCCATAAATGCAGTTCTAATTATGTTAGAAACTCCATTTCTTTAACAAAAAATTTGGTTTAATAAATACATTTAAAAACTAAAAATCTAATCATGATATACACCATAGTACGGGTCCAGTTGGGTCTGGCTGGATACAGTTCATGCACATCTGGTATGGGATCATCACATGACACTGTTTAGCAGTGAAAATGTATGGTTTTCTCACAAAAAACTTACATGTTGAACCTATAATGAAGTCAAAATGGCTTAAGTTTGGAGGCATTTTTAGTAAAATATCTATACTTATGAAAGTTTCCTGAAAAATGTCTGTTTGTGTCAGAATTGCAGTAGGTACATGTGCAGTACTATGAAACAGAAAAAAATAAATATATTACTTACAAAGTGGTTGATGTCACTTGTGGTGCAGATGATGAGAATCCTAACGAGTTTGAAGACCCTGTGGCAGACCGTAGTCTAGGTGATCCTTGAATTTCTGTTGAGGCTGTCTGTTCTTCACTACCAGTGACTTCCTGAGTATCATCTGCTGTAGGTCTTGAGCCACCCACACTAAGGCTAGAGGAGTCTAAACTACCCACATGGGTAGTAGCCTCCTCAGTAGGGCTCACAATTTCTAAGGAATGTCTGTTAAGAAGAAAGGAAATACTGTAACACAATTGATAAAATTAAAATTATTGATATCATGGAAGGATGTTTTTCATTTTTAGCTTCCAACTCATACCATGTGTTTTCTTCCTTCTCATACCATGTGTTTTCTTCCTTCTCATACCATGTGTTTTCTTCCAACTCATACCATGTGTTTTCTTCCAACTCATACCATGTGTTTTCTTCCTTCTCATACCATGTGTTTTCTTCCTTCTCATACCATGTGTTTTCTTCCAACTCATACCATGTGTTTTCTTCCAACTCATACCATGTGTTTTCTTCCTTCTCATACCA